TCTTCATTTATGATGCTCTTTTTTATGTTTTCTATCTCCACTCTTATGTTTTCTATCACTTTGTTTAAAGTTTCACTCAGTTCATCTACTCTTCCCCTAAATTCATTGAGCATCCTTATATGTGTTTTGAACTCTGCATCTGGTAGATTGCTTGTCTCCATTTTGTTGAGTTCTTTTTCTGGAGCTTTGTTCTGTTCTTTCATGTGGGACATGTTTCTTTGTATCCCCATTTTGGCTGCCTCCCTGTGTTTGTTTATATATATTAGGTAGGGCTGCTATGTTTCCTAATCTTAGTAGAATAGCCTTATGTAGTAGGTGTGCTATAGGTCCCAGTGGCACAGTCTTCCCTGGTCATCTAAGCCAGGTGCTCCAAGTATGTCTCCTTGTATGGGCTGTGGGTGCCCTCCTGTAGTAGTTGAGCCTTGATTGCTGTTTGCTTGTCAGTGGGAGGGATTGACCCTTGGGCTGATTGGTTGTGATGACTGGCCATGACCAGTGGAGGAGCTGTTGTGCAGGGGCTGACCCTACAGAGCAAAATTCACTTTAACAGGGCTCTGGTATCTGCCCTGTAAGCCTTTTAGGTATGTAATCCTGAGATGTGATCCTGGGTGGTGCTCTGGCTCAGAGTGAAGCTGGCCACCAAGCATGCCAGCCAGGACCTCCTGGGAGGGCCCAGCCACAGGCCATGTTCAGCTGCAGTCTGTGCCCTGTCTGGGGCCACTTGGCATGAGCCACCAAGTAATCTGCAGATGGCTGCCACCCATGCTGGGCTTGGATGTGCCTCGAGAGCCCAAGCCACAATCCAATGCTGGCTGCTGCTAGTGCCAGGCTTGGGGCTGCTCAGCAAGAGGTACAGGGCATGCCAAGGCCAGATGTTGCTTGTTTACATTTTGTGAACCCTGAGAGATTTTAGGAAAATCTGCAGCATGAGCCAAGATAGGCGGTTTGTATGGAAAATCTACTGGAAGTGGCTTGGGTGGGCCCACAAGTTGGCAGGGGCGGGGTCTCAGGGAATCACCAGGGCAGGGTGATTAGTGTTAGCTACATTGATGGAGACTCAGATATGATGCCCACCTGCATCTGTACACCAGGTGCGGGACAGTTCAATAAAGTATCAATAGCTTCTGCCAGTACTTCTCTCAGGAGAAAGTTGCCACTCCAGCCCTCACCCTGAAGCCAGACAACCCAGTTCCTCCCTGTATGTCCCTGGCACTTTTTCAGCAGCTTCCCCAGTGTTGGAGCTCAGAGCAAGGGAGTCTGTCACTGAGAAGTCCATGAGCAGGCCCCTTAAGAGAAACGCCTGCGACTCCCTCAGTTCTCCATTTCACTCAGCCACAATCTCCGCTGGTTTTCATAGCTAGAAGTTGTGGGGACTTTTCTTCCCAGGGAACCCTCGGCTGGGAAGCCTGGTGTGGAGCCTGGACCCCTCACTCTTCTGGGGGGAATCCACAGCCGATATATTTCTCCTGATTCTCAACCGCCACACACAGGTTGAGAATTTCACATCTCTGCTCCTCCTACCAGTCTCACATCTCTGCTCCTCCTACTAGTCTCAAGGTGGCCTCTTCTATATGTCCCCAGTTGTAGGACTTCTGCTCAGCTAGACTTCAGGCAATTCCTAATGATGGCTATTCTGTAGTTTAGTTGTAATTTTGATGTGGATGTGAGAGGAGGCAAGCACAGCATTTACCTGGTCTGCTATCTTGACTGGAACCCTGGAAGTATTATTCTATCTCCATTTTTGAGATGGAGAAACCTGAAAGGTTGAGTAATTTACACAAAGTCACCCAGTTAGTCAATTGCAGAGCTAAGGATTTAAACTCAGGTTCATGTTCCAGACTTTCTGCTCTACCTGCCTCCCTAAAGCATCTGAAGTCCACAGCTCATTAACTGTCCTAGTTGACAGAGCAGGTAAGAGATGAAATGGGGGAGGTCAAGTTAAAGGGAGAGTGGATCTCTGAACTTCCCATGCATTGATTCCTTTTCCAGTATGGGTGGTGACTGTTTTGTGAGTTCTTAAATCAATTTAATGGATCACAAACAAACTACATTCGAAAGAAAGAAAGAAGTGGGAAGAGGAGAGAAAAGAAAAAGAAGGAAGAAAGGAAGAGAGAAAGGAAAGCACAAAAAATCATACTGTACCACATGTAATTAAAATAGTACTGGTTCATGAAACTTTTGTTCCATTGTTTATATGCATGCTGGGTTGCTATGAAAAAATGTCTTTCTTACTGTGGGCTGTAGTATCAAAAGAAATTAAATTTCATTCAAATTCAATAGTCATCAGGAAAATAAAAATTAAAGTAGTAAGACACCACATGTTTTCAGAGGCAAAAATGTAAACACAACTTGAATGCCTATCAGATAGAAATGAATAAATTATTCTATATCCATACTATGCTTAATAAAGAATGGCTTAGGTTTATACATATTAAATTAGAGAAATTTTCCATGATTTATATTCAATAAGAAAAACACCCTGCAGATAAATGCATGTGGCATAATTATACTTCTGTGCAATAAATGATGAAACCCCCAACATAGAGGTATCAAACATTTGGGTGGTGGATGGGGTGGAATGAAAAAGGAGAGAAGAAGGAAGTAAGGGAAAGAAACAACAAAGGCAGTTGCTAACTAGCAAAAATAAGTACATGTATCTTTGAGAATCCCATGGGAAATAGAGGACATAAGCAAACTGTATAAGTTAAGAAGAGTTTAATAAAGTGACTATTTACAAAATTGTGGGAAATGTTTAAGAAAACCAACAGGAATTCAGTCCCTCAGGAATTGTAGCATCAGGGAACCATTATCATCACCCAGGGCTGAAAGGGCATGTGAGAGTGGTTACTGGAACCTGGAGTGGGTAGCTCTGTGGAGAGAACCTCCAAACAGGCGCTGTGGACTCTGGTAGGAGGAGGCAGGGAAGAAGATAATTTTTTTCTCCCTCTACTCTCCACTCTCCTACTACTGCATCCCATTGGCCAACCCAATTGGAGGACAGAGGGCTCAGGGCCCCACAGATGCAGCCCACAAAGGTCAATTGCCTGGGACTCAGAGCAGGGTAGAGGGGGCTTTAGAAAAATCTTAATGGGACAAATGGATGATATCCAACATAGTATACTATAACAATAAATGAAAAAATGGAATATAAACTCCATCCATCATTTTTTATATGTAAAAATTAGATATTTACATGGATAAGAATTAAAAGGTTACTAAATGACAGTATCATTTTGTTTTTGTGATGGCATCTTGGATTTTAATTAAACCTAATAATTTCAATAATAATTACATTAAAATATTTTTTTCTTTTTTATTCTCTGCAATGAAAAAAATCCGAGTTAAACTTCTGATTCTACCAGATCCTGTTGTTTCTCTAACTTCCCCATCTTTAGAATGGGAATGATAAAAGTACTCACTTCATAGAGTTGCTACGAGGATTAAATGAACTAATAAATTTTGAGATCTTAGGACAGTACTTTGAACGTAGTAAATGCTTTAAGTCTTTACTATTATTATGGTGATGATGGGACATCAGGTACCTCCTAATGGAGGCGGCTGTCTCCATATCCCCTCTCCAATCTACCCACCATCCAGCCAGAGCAAGCTCCCTTTAAAGTGTATTCCTGATCATGTCACTTTCTTCCTTGGAATTTGTCCATGGTCTCCAGACTCTGCAGTATAATACTCAAACCTCACCCTTGCAGTTATCTCCAGCCTCATTCTTCTCTGCTTTGTGCTTTCATTCCAGCCTCACAATTCTTTCTGTTTCTGCACAAGTGCCATGCTGTCCTCTGTCCCAGAGCTTCTGTTGGGAATGCCTTTTCCATATCATTCTACTTTCCTACCTTCTTAACTCTTACTATTCATCATTGATACTTCAAGCATCACCTCCCCTGAGAAGACTTCCTGCCGCTGCATAATCAAATTTATAAGCAGCTTCTTCATTCCATAACATCTCATGTAGCCTCTATCTCGCCATGTGCCAAATCATGAGTGTATTGAATTCTCAACAGCAATGGTCCCTCAAAGGAAGCAATAATGACCTTTCTCTCTGAACCCCTGCACAGAGCATGGAACATGCTGAGAGTGGATACTTAATCATGATTTGTCTAAGAATAAAATTTATAAATAAATGAGTTAAATAAGTGACCAAACCAGAATTCAACCCCAGCTCTGTTTGACTCCAAAATGCCACCACTTTCTCCCAACCATCTGGAAGTTCTAAAGCTGCCTGACACTTCAGAATAGCTGCATGCCTGAGGGAACTCCCCAAAGACACTAGACCAATTCAGGCCAAAATGATCTGGTTAACAGTGATGGGGAGGAATAAATGCCTCCTTTCTGGGAGTATCAACCACATGACATTTGCTTTATCAAGGGACTTTCTCAAGAAAATCAATTTCTGGAGCATGTTAAAATATAAACACCACCACCCACCCACCCACTACTTAACAGAAATTAGTCCAAAGAGATTTTAGAGAATTCAGACAATTCCACAACGTTGAGAGCACCATCTGATCATATGAACTTTGTTTTCCCTAACCAATCATTTTTCTACTAAATTTTTATTTCAAATTTGGCTCCACTGTGAAATATGCATCCCCATACTGTACTGTGTGCATAGCCACAGATACACTGGAGAGTCTTGACATATTCACCATTTGAGATTTGCTCTTGTGGCTCATGATAATGTCACCAGAATCCCTTGATAATAGTGTTTATATCTATTTATAACTGTAACCTATTATCCTATCTTCCATATAATTGGATGTGACTAAGACTAAAAAAAAATTCAGCTGCATAAGAAAAGTCATGCTCTTATAGAACAGATGTTCACTCAGCATGGAAAGTGAATTAGCCTTTAAAACAAATACCCAGA